GCTAGACTGACAAACCTCAAAGGGAAAGGGGTTGGGGGGTGGGAAGAAATAAACCAAAGAACTTATATGCATAAGCAATGGACACGGACAATAGTGTGGGAAAAGGCGGGAGGGGGGCAGGAGTGGGGAGGAGGGGGTCATTGGGGGAAAAATGAGGAACATCTGTAATACATTCAACAATAACGATTAAAATATAATAACAATAAATAAAAATAAAACAGAAATATAACTAGTTATTAAAAACAAACAATACAAAAAACTCTAACTCTAAGGATAGAGAAAACAGAACCCAGAACCAAGTGAACTTAAGGAATCAAAATAACAACAGTTGGCACAATTCAACATTCTGTCTTATGTTTTCAAAAGGAAGATAGAGAGGTCTGGACATACTTAACAGGATCATATCACGCATGTACCATGTCTACTGAAAACAGAAACAAAACCTACAGCTTAGGAAAGTGTCACTCGGCAGAAAGTCCCGCCAGGGTCTGGGCTGCCTCTGGCGGAGTCGGAGCCCCAGCCTCTTCACAGGCCCCGCACTAACTGCACGCAGAGCAAATGCAAAACGCATCTCAGAAAATGAGCACCAGACACTCGTGGGTGTTTACACGGGTGAGCAAAGGGATCAGCAAAGGCAGTGCCCATCAAGGCCAGATCTCCCGGAGAAATGAACACCAACTGCTCACAGATCTTCACAGGTGCTGACAAATTTTAATCAATGCACCTAAAATTAAACTTTGGCACAACTGAGTGTCCATGCTACTTTGGCAACATCTCTCCAATAAAATTACTGAGCTGAGTGGGTCAAGAGCTGTGCCGTCAGGCGGGGACAACGTGTTGTCAACACACAGTGGAGGCACAGCGCCATGTCACAAGGATGCGGCCGTGGTCGGAGAAGTGAGCCCGTCTACGTCGACCAGGCGTGCGCAGAGCCCAGTAACTCGGGGTGCTGCTGTGGGAACCACCAGCACTGCACCTGCGATGGTCGCACAGGCACACGTGGAGAAATGAGAACAGAACTCACCTCACGTGTGACACTAACACTCACCTCCACCTGCTACCTACCAGAGCACTTCTCTCCCCTCGCTCCCCAAGCACTCACAACTCCCGGCAGATGCCTGGCTCTTGTATTTCCTCCACCGACTTTAATAAGATTTACAAATAATCATTTTCTAGGAAAAAACAATGTAACTTTTTAAATATGAAACAAGAAGGAAAGAGTAAGATAAGACACACATGCCTCACTGGGTCTGAAAACAGAAACCCCACGCTGCCAGCCAGGCAAGGAAAGCTTCCCCGAAGCCCAGTGCAGGAACGGGGACGCCAGCCACCGCCCCGCCTGCGCGGTCCCACCTGTCCTGCGGGCACCACTGCCGGCTTACAGCCCACCCAGGAGCCGGGCTGGGTCACACCTGCCTCCTCTCAAGGTGCACTGCAGCCGGCCTTGTTTTCACTCAGCTCCACCACGAGTCCAAGGCTAGAGTCATTTCTCAGTAACTTGGGTCAGAAATAAGATCCCTTCCCAGATCAAAAGCCCCCACTCATATTTTTCGCCCAACCATGACTCAGCAGCTTCTTTGGATGGTTTAAAGAATTTACCTGAACTAACCTCTCACTTTTAAAAACCTCCTGCACTCTAAATTCCTTTGAAATCTCCAAATTACTTTACCAACCTACTTCCTTCAGTGCCATGTAGTAACCACCTTTGGGCAACTGTCCACCCTCCCCTCTTCTCCGAGGGTGGCTCACCACTCAGAGCCCCTGCCGTAGGACTGGGCCTCAGGCACTCCATTCCCTCCCGGCAGCTTCTCAAACCAGGGGTGGACTCCTGCCCAAGCCTAGCCAGGCAGACTGCCTTTTTTTTAATCCTCACTCCAGGACATTTTTTTCTGTTGATTTTTAGATAGTGGAAGGGTGGGGGAGGAGAGACAGAAAAAGAAACATTGATGTGCGAGAGACATTGATTGGTGGCCTCCCACATGTGCCCTGACCAGGGCCGGAGGTCAAGCCTGCAACCCAGGTATTCACCCTCGACCGTGAATGAAACCCAACCCGAGATCCTTTGGTTCTCAGGCCGACACTCCAACCACTGGGCAGTGCCAGCCAGGGCCAGGCCAACTCGCTTAACTGTATGGAGACTGGAGCAGCCTTCCGCGGTCATGCTGAGCTAGGCTGCGTGGCCCTTCTTCAGCATTGTGTGCCGAGGCTAAGAAAGCCAGGCTTCAGCCCTGGCCAGATTGGCTCAGCGGTTGGAGCGTCGGCCTGCGGTCGGAGAGACCCGGGTTCGGTTCCCACTAAGGGCATGTACTTCGGTTGCAGTTTGTCCCCGACCCTGGTTGGTCGTGCGGGTGGCAGCCACTTGATGTGTCCCTTCACGTCGATGTTTCTCTCTCTCTCTCTCTCTCTCTCTCCCTCCCACTCTATCTGTACAAAAAATGGAAAAATATCCTCGGGTGAGGATAAAAAAAAAAAAAAAAAAAAGAAAGCCAGGCTTCAAGTAGAGGGGGATGGCCCAGAGGCAGAAGAGAAGCACAGGAGCGACTCACAGATGGGTCATCATAGAGAATGGCCTGGGTGTCTGCCCGTCATCCAGTCCCCAGCTCGGGCCACTCCTCAGGCCGATGCGTTCCCTGCACCTGGTTCCATGAGACCCTCTATGCAAAAAGTCCCACTTTTTTCTCAACTAAGTTATGTTCCTGCCCTGGCCGGTTTGGCTCAGCGGTTAGAGCGTCGGCCTGCGGTCTGGAGAGACCCGGGTTCGGTTCCCGCTAAGGGCGTGTACCTCGGTTGCAGTTTGTCCCCAGCCCTGGTTGGTCGTGCGGGTGGCAGCCACTCGATGTGTCCCTTTCACATCGATGTTTCCCTCTCTCTCTCTTCCTCTCTCTCCCTCCCACTCTGTCTGTACAAAAAATGGAAAAATGTCCTCGAATGAGGATAAAAAAAAACACAAAGTTATGTTCCTACTCTTTGTAATAAAATGGTATCTAACTAAATAGCCATATGAGTAGTAACTTCAAATTCCCATCCCATTGTCTGTGAAGCAGTAGCTTCAAGAAATCAGAAGTTGCCCTGGCCAGTTTGGCTCGGCGGTTAGAGCATCGGCCCACAGTCCAGAGAGACTCGGTTCCTGCCAAGGGCATGTACCTCGGTTGCAGTTTGTCCCTGGCCCCGGTTGGGGACATGTGGGTGGCAACCACTCAATGTGTCTCTCTCACATCAATGTTTCTCTCTCTCTCTCTCCCTCACACTCTGAAGATAAAGGCAAAAATGTCCTCGGGTTAGGATAAAAAAAAAGAAATCAGAAGTTAAAAAATCAAAGCGGTGGGGAAGAGGAGGACAGGGACAAGAAAAAGGGGAACTCTTTAAAAACCAAGCATGCAGTTCAGTGGAGAGAAATTCAGTGCCTTCTAAGTGATGCAGTGCTCACTCTGAGACACTCGAAGATGAAAAGATGGGCAGCTCCCAGTCCTGCCCCAGCAGCAGTCGTAAAAGGAAGACAGAGGTGAGGGCTCCAAGGCTGGAGGCCACGCGAGGCGCATGCTCTCCAGGGCAGCTCGGAGCAGGACGAGAGCACACAGCTGGGCAGTAGCCAGACAGAATAACTTCTAGATGCTCAGGGGGCCAAAGCTGGTCATCTCAACACCAGACCCTTAGACAACGTAGTTCAGAAAGAAGTTTCTGGAGGTAGGGAACCTCTCTAGATACCCTATATGAATCCTCTGAATTTAATTTTGCATTTTAAAGGTACTTTACACTATCTCAAGTAGAATGGTAAAAGCAAAACAATTTTCTAATTATAATCTCAAAGATTAGATGTTATAGTGAGTAACAAAGTAAGAATTCACAGTACTAATTCAAATAGATGACTGTATTCTAAAACTATTGTTATTTCAGGATGCTAAAGGACATGAGAAATACTTTATATAAAATGTTAAAAGATTAACAAAATACTCCATTGTGTATATGTACCACAGCTTTTTTATCCATTTGTCTACTGATGGACACTTGAGCTATTTCCAGATCTTAACTATTGTAAATAGTGCTGCTACGAACATGGGGGTACATATGTTCTTTCTGATTGGTGTTTCAGGCTTCTTATGGTATATTCCTAGAAGTGGGTACATTTACACAATGGAGTACTATGCAGCTGTAAGAAAGAAAGATTTCTTATCCTTTGAGACGACATGGAGGGACCTGGAGAGTATTATCCTAAGCGAAACAAGCCAAGCAGAGAAAGACAAGTATCATATGATCTCACTTAATTGTGGAATATAATGAACATAACAGTCTGAGGAACGGGGTAGTCCCAGAGACGTGGAAGTGGGGTACAGACTGACAATCCCCAGAAGACGGGGTAGGAGGGAGAGATAAACCACAGAACTTATATGCATGTATGCATGGACAACAAAACTGGGGACAGGTTAGGGAGGGTGGGGGGGTATCAGTGGGGGAAAAAGAAACATCTGTAACAAAAATAAATAAATAAATTTTAAAAAAGATTAACAAAATAATTGTATATTTTCTAATATACAAAAAATTATAAATCAGAAGCAAATACAATGTTCTTAAAATGTCAGAACTGTTATTATATTGTTGTTGGAATATTTGATGAACTACATATAACTTAGCCATTAGAAAGAATAAAGATAATATATTAACAAGATGAAATACATATTAAATGGGGGGAAAAAGGATATAAAATTTTATGTATACTCTAATTACAATGACACATATAAAAAAGATATATTATATAAAACTATACATATATAGTTTTTCATAATCTCTCTCTCTCTCTCTCTCTCTCTCTCTCTCTCTCTATATATATATATATATATTAAAAATACCATAAAGAAAAAAGGTAGTAATGTGTATGTTACAGTGGTAAGATCATGAGTAGTTCATTTTTCTAAGTTTTTTTGGTCAAGATGTTAACTTACAAACTTTGTCAACACCTCAGTCCCTTTCTTCTCTGAAGCATCGGAAACGCAGCGCAAACTCACCTCGTCAGAAGCAGATCGAAGACACTGGACGGCAGCTTGTTTTTTCATTTCTTCTAGCGTCAGATCTGAGCACTTTTTCTTACTCTTTCCCCATTTCTTATAAGCTCCTTTTTCCCAGCCCAGGAAGATGTCATTCTCCTAAAATAGATTGGACAAGTTTCAATGACCAAGCATAAAAAACAAGTTTCATACGCTATTATTTTCCACATACTTGCACATCCCTTCCCCTACCAAACATGAATTCATAAAATGGTACAAACTGACAGAGGACGAGACCACAGAACACTGTCGGTCAGAGCACTTCAGGATCATCCACTGGTTTGACATCTACTCCTGAGGTTATGGATTACTTATGATCTTAATAAATATGGCCCATATATTTAAGGTAAACGCTAACAAGCAACCCCCACATTTGGCTGTGAAGTCAAGCATAATTTAAACTTCGGTATGAGTCCAAAGCTATACACACAGCGAAGTGCCCTCCCTTCTACACTTCTTACTCTCCAACAGTGAGGCTCAGGGTTAACAGTCCAATCCCTATCTCTACATCTTGTAGTCTCAAAACAACCAGATATAAAATATTTTAGGTTGCCATTTAAAGTTTATTTTTTCCCTTGATGTTATATGCCCATTATAAAAATCTGAAGAAAATCTGAGAAGTCGAAAAAAAAGTAGGCAAATCACCCATGACTATTGCCCAGTGAAAACTAGAATAATCTGGTCTGCTTCGTGTGGTCTTTTTCTTATGCTTTAAAACACAGAGTTGAATTCACACTATTTGTATAATGTTGCATTTGACTTATTATATTGTGAACAATACCCCAAGTTACTACAAATTCTTTAACTACATAAAATTCCATGATGTTAGGTTTACTATTTCCCCAGACTGGGACTTCTTAAATTTAATATTTTTAATTACTTTGTTTTGTCTTTTTTTTTTAAGCCTTTATTTAATCAATTATGATGAAAACCAGTGGACTGACAACGAGACGATATTAAGAAAATTACTCAGGCCCTGGCCGGTTTGGTTCAGCGGTTAGAGCATCGGCCTGCGGTCCTGAGAGACCCGGGTTCGGTTCCCGCTAAGGGCGCGTACCTCGGTTGCAGTTTGCCCCGGCCCTGGTCGGTTGTGCGGGTGGCAGCCACTCGATGTGTTCCTTTCACATCGATGTTTCTCTCTCTCTCTCTCTCTGTTCCTCTCTCTCCCTCCCACTCTACCTGAACAAAAGATGGGAAAGTGTCCTCAGGTGAGGATTAAAAAAAAAAAAGAAAGAAAATTACTCAGAAGAGTACCTGGCCTCCAGGGGACCCTCAAGAAATAGATACAAATGAATAAGATGAAATAAAGGAGAAAAAGCACAATAATAATAATAATAATTCATTCAAAAGATCTTTAAGATCAAATCATACACCATCAACTGTCTAACCTGATTTTTACTTTAATTCAATACATTATACTTTTTTGTAAAATATAGTTTTATTGATTTTTTAGAGAGAGGAAGGGAAGAGAGAAACATCAACCGGCTGCCTCCTGCACACCCCCTACCAGGGATGTGCAGCCCAGGCCTGTGGCCTGGCCAGGAAAGGCCTGGGACCTCTCAGCACATGGGACATCAGTCCACTGAGCCACACTGGCTGGGCCACACAATACACTTCTATGCCAACAGACAGGAGTGCAAGAAGGGTCCATCCTTCCCTGCACTCATCATAATGATAACTTTTTACTTAATTTTTTTCTTTTTTGGCTAATCTTCACCCGTGGATATTATTTCCATTGATTTGTAGAGAGATTGGAAAGGAGGGAGGCAGAGGGGGAAGAGAGAAAGAGAGAGGAACATTGATGTGAGAGACATATCGACTGGTTGCCTCCCACACGCCTACCCCCACCCCCACCCCCCGTCTGGGTCCGGGATCAAACCTGCAACCCAGGTACGAGCCCATGACTGGGTACTGGGCTAAGCACCAAGAAACCACTAAGCCGCACTGGCCAGGGCTTACTTAATTTCTTAGGCATGTTTGCAGATTTAATGAACCAAAAAACATCCTTTCTGGCTGAGTGGTGTCCATTCCTTTTTCCAAGGGAAAAGGTGTTTGAGAGCCAAGAAAGAACTGTCGGTGTATGTCCACCTGTCCGACATGTTTGGCTGGACTACACCTGAAACCTGACGTTTCTTATCAATGATATCTTCTGGAGATAGGGCTTGTCCTTTAGCAGGAACAGAGGACAGAACCATAACAATGCAGATTCGAAGCTTCTGAAAGCAGAGAAAAATGGTCTAATTTTCTCTGTTGTTCACAGAACGTAAAACAGGTAGAAAAGTTACTGTATGATAATGAACAGGACTCCTTTCTGTTCGAGCTGCTGAGACAGGCTCTTCAACTTTACTGAGCGTTATAAACACGTGTCCCCACGGAGGTCACATTACAGCTCAGCAGAAGTAACACACATTCAAAGGTCCCAATCAAGTTTTACTATACAGACAGGACTTAAACAATCCACATGGTCATGCAGCCAGTCCTTCTGGAGGGCAGTCTGACAACATTACCAAAAATCTTGACCATGCACATGTAATTTCACTCCAATAATTCTACTTCTGGGGCTTTACCCTACGGCCAAAGTCACCGAGGTGTGCACAAAGTCAGCTACAGTGATGGCAAATGCAGAAACAAGCTAAACGTCAAATGAGGAAGATTTGGTAAATTATTATTCATCCAGGCGATAAGGTATTATAACCACTAAAGAGACTATAAGCATATTTATTCACATGGAAAGCTACCCACAATATGTATAAGCAAAGTAGTTTACACAATAGTGTGATCTCATGTCTGGTTAAAATGCACACCCATGCACACACACTCATACTCCCTTAGTGTGCATTAAAAGCTCTGAGGGCGCCCTGGACAGTTTTGCTCAGTGGTTGAAGCATCGGCCCTCTGATCGGAAGGTTGTGGGTTCGATTCCCAGTCAAACACATATGCCTGGGTTGGGGGTCGTACAGGAGGCAACCAATTGGTGTGTTTCTTTCTCTCTCTCTCTCTCTCTCTCCCACCTTGCCACTTTCTCAAAAAAAAAAAAAAAAAAAAAAAATCAATGGAAGAATATTTTCAGGTGAGGATTAGCTAAAAAAAAGTCTAAGAGAAATGTACTGAGAGGTTACTGAGAAGCTTTTGTGGTGAGCAGGAGCAGGGTACTATGATTCTTGTGATTAGGTCAGATTCTTGTCCTGGCCGGTTTGGCTCAGCAGTTAGAGCGTCGGCCTGAGGTCGGAGAGACCCGGGTTTGGTTCCCACTAAAGGCACGTACCTGGGTTGCAGTTTGTCCCAGGCCCCGGTTGGTCATGTGGGTGGCAGCCACTCAATGTGTCACTTTCACGTCGATGTTTCTCTCTCTCTCTCTTCCTCTCTCTCCCTCCTGCTCTATCTGAACAAAAAATGGAAAAATGTCCTCGGGTGAGGATTTAAAAAATAAATAAATAATTAGGTCAGATTCTTTTAATAGTCAAAAGTTTTCATTTGTTTTTTTGTTTGTTTTTTTTTAAAATCCTCACCCAAGGACATTTTTCCATTTTTTGTACAGACAGAGTGGGAGGGAGAGAGAGGAAGAGAGAGAGAGAGAGAGAAACATCGATGTGAAAGGGACACATCCAGTGGCTGCCACCCGCACGACCAACCAGGGCCGGGGACAAACTGCAACCAAGGTACATGCCCCTAGCGGGAACCGAACCCGGGTCTCTCCGGACCGCAGGCGGACGCTCTAACCGCTGAGCCAAACCGGCCAGGGCTTCATTTGTTTTTAAAAGGAAAACCTACAAGTTAAGAACAGAGGAATCAGAAGAGTTCCTGGAGATCACCACGTGGAACAGGTACCTGGCATCGCTCTGCTTCCTGCCTGGCATGCCTTTGCTCACACGTGGATTCGTCCACGCGTCCAGCACCCATTTCAGTGTCTTCGCTGTGGCCCCAGGGACTGTCAGAATGAACACAAGCCCAGCCCTGCTGCCAGGGCCCACAGCCCAGTGTGAAATAAGAGCAGGAAGCAAACAACCGCGGCACGGCTCTGCTCCGAAGGCCCGTGGGAAGCACTCGGAAGGGAGGAGCACACGTTTCCCTTGGCCTGGTTGGGGAGCACAGGCTGCCCACAGAAGGAACGGTCAGGAGCGCGCAGTCTTAGAGAACAGACATGGGGGTGCAGTGAGTGGGGAATATCAGGCAGAAACAATGAGCTGACGCAAGGGACGGCAAACTTTTTCCGTAAGGGCAAATAGTAAATACTTTAAACTTTATAGGTCAAGCCCTGGCTGGTTTGGTTCAGCAGTTAGAGTGTTGGCCCACGGACCCATGAGTCGCGGGTTCAATTCCGGTCAAGGGCATGTACCTCGATTGCAATCCATCCCCGGCCCTGGTCCAGTCGCAAGGGAGGCAGCCAGTCGATGTGGCTCTATCACATTGATGTTTCTGTCTGTCTCTCTGTCTCTCTCCCTCCCTCCCACTCACTCTAGCTGATGATAAACAGAAAAGTATCCCCTGGTTAGGAATAAAAAAAACAAAAAAGTTTATAGGTCAAGAGGATAAATCAAGGGTACAATGAAGGTACTTTTACCAAAGAGAGAGAGGGAAAATAAATTTTCAAATTGTTTACTGATAGAATTCAAAATATGATTCAGTACCATTTTTTGTAACACAGGTCTACTAAAAAGAAGAATGGAATTCTTTTTGGGTGAGATAACATTCGCTTAATCAGGGCTCAAAGTTCGTGTTCTCTGTCATCAAAATCAGTTACAAATGGTCGTTTGTTAATGCTCATGTTTTAAATAATAGCTTTATTGACACATACTTCACATGCTATAAAATTTAAACTGTTAAAGTGTACCATTCCGTGGTTTTTAGAATAATTCACGCGGTTATGCAACAATCACCGCTAACTTTAGAACATTTATTATCCCCAAAGGAAACCCTGTCCTCAGTAGCACACACTTCCCATTCCTCTCCTGAGCCACCAGTAACTACCAATCTGCTGTCTCTGTGGATCTGTCTATTCTGGACATTTCCTATAAATGGATTATATGATGAATGTCCTTTTGTGTCTGACTTCTTGCACTCAGTGGGATGTTCTGGAGGCTCACCCATGTTGTGGCATG